TGGCAGTTCTAGTTAACTACCGTTATGCTTGTAGTGGTTGTAGTTTCGTCGTGGTTCTATCTTTCGGGTGAAGCATGCGTCTGCTATTGAGGAGATTCTAGTATTTAGTGTGTTTTGTTTGTTTATCCGAATTTGTGTTTTATATAGTATTTTTATTCTCCACTATTGAAGTTAGAATTCTCCACTTGTTGAAGTGTAGATTAGTGTTATCGTAGTTTGTTTGTGTCTCTAGGCTACAAGCGTTCTCGTCGTGTAGGTCTCTCTCTGAATTCAATTGTATAGATGCTTCAATAGTCTACTTAACTACTTGTAAATATGTATTTTTATTAATGAATATACCGTTTCACAAAAAAAGAAAAAATACAATTAGAAATATAAATGACATTTTGGATACCACGGTGTACATTGAAACATGATATGAAAAATATAAAATAAATTTTGTGACAATTGAAGTTGTTGTAAGAAATTGGGAAAAAACGGGTGCGGGCCCACTAACATGAAGCGCACCAAAGCGGAGAAAACTCATATGAAGCCCAAGTGGAGTTTCATCCCAAAACCAATTGGTTGAAGGAGGAGTAGCCCATTAGACTTATAAGGTGTGTCTATTTTCTATGTATGAACGATGTGGGACAACTCACAAGTGATATTCTAGCACGCCCCCTCACTTGTGAGTCCTTCGGAAGCCCAAGCCCAACTGGGTTGGGTGCCCCAAGCCTACTCGAAGCAGACTCCCATAAACGGGTACGTGGGGAAGCAGACTCCCATAAACAGGTACGTCATCGCACGGTCCCATACCATGTAAGAAAGTGAAGAAAACGGGTGCGGGTCCACTAACATGAAGCGCACTAAAGTGGGGAAAGCCCATATGAAGCCCAAGTGGGGTTCCATCTCAAAACCAATTGGTTGAAGGAGGAGTAGCCCATTAGACTTATAAGGTGTGTCTATTTTCTATGTATGAACGATGTGGGACAACTCACAAGTGATATTCTAACAGTCGTTATCACAGTTATCACAAATAAACTGATATCACGAAAATATCCAATAAAAAAATTACTAACATGATAATACCATTTGTCAGTACTACTTTAGCTTAATAGTAATAATAATAATAATAATCATAATAATAATAATAACTATTCCTTATACTTACACGAAAAAAAGAAGTCCATTCAACTCAAAATATTATTTCAATTTGGATTTATTAGTGCGTAGCCCGTGCGATGCGCGGTAAATAATATTAAATGATAATTATAAATTAAAAATAATGTTATACAATATTAACTAACTAGTACAACACCCGTGTATTATACGGGTGCTTCCTAATTTTTTTTTTCTTAAATTTAAAATTAATGAGAAAATGTGGTTGAAAATTTAAAAAAAAAATTACAAAAAAATATATATTATAATATATTTTAGTATGACACTTGTTACTTGCGCGACTTACCTGTGTTATATTATAATAATTTTTCAAACTTATAACATATAACTAATTTTTTTTTTCAGTACAATAAAGGAGGTCGAATGCCTAAATGAAGATTAGACTAAAACTCGACGGGGGTACGAGACCTCCCGGATAAATTAAACATAAATATATAAATTAAGAAATAATTTTATTTTTAATTAATTTTAATAAATAATTTTATTATTATTATAAAGATAAAGATATTTTATTTATTTTATATATACAACATGGATGTCAAATCGAAGCTCATCAAAAGACGATTAATGTGGTTGTAAAACGGATAAGAAATACAAAAGTTATCGACTTTTAAAATACATTTACAATTCAATTGTTATAATAGGAAATGATATTAAGATACAATTAATACATCTAAAATTATCATAAATAAATCAACATATTTATGGCAATCCGAACCTAATCTATTAATATATAATAAGGATTAACATACTTAACTTTTAGAAACACTTCCCCGCCAATTTCATTTATTATGACTAAAAATAGCAAAATTAATAAAAATCAATATAATTAATGTACATAATCTTTTTAGTCAAATATTTACTGTTATTACCTTTATTAGTTGAATTTAAATTTAGGATGATTTAGTTTTATGGAAACAAATATAGGGATATTATAGAAAGTTTAGAAATTCTTAGTTTAAATATATAGACTTGATTGAGCAATTATAGAGAATTAATCGTTAATCTTTATATCTAAGGTAAAATACTTTTTCCCATCCGAACTATCACGGTTTTGGCGCATCACAATATAAACAATTTTTTTTTAACAAACCACCATATGAACTATACGGGTTTGTCAATGTGCCCCCTAAACCGGATATAAAAGTGGTTTAGGGGACACATTGACAAACCCGTGATTGTTCATATGGTGGTTTGTAAAAGTATTTAGGGGGCACATATGGTGACCAAACAACCTTTTCAGTCAAAACCACTTTTATATCTGGTTTAGCGGGCACATTGACAAACCCGTATAGTTCATATGGTGGTTTGTAAAAAAAAAGTTTATATGGTGATGCGCCAAAACCATGATAGTTCGGATGGAAAAAAGTATTTTACCCTTATATCTATATTATATTTCCTGTATTGAGTAAAACATAATAAATTAATACTTATGTTATTTTTGATACATCTTTTTGTTGGCATAGTAGAGTTGTAAGATTATCTTTTTCTTCATAGACAAGATAACCAAATACAAAATATAAATAACATTTATGTGCCGCTAAAAAATATTTTGGACAAAATGTAGAATTGACTTTCAGAAATTACTTAA